AGCACCGGAGCACTCTGGGCTCCCCCTGACTCTGCCATGGACGCAACTCAGGGGGTCGCTCCGGGAACCCTGCCTTTCCCAGCTGCTCCCAGGCTCACTTCCTTGGGCACCAGCTCCTCTTTGCTCCAGGACCAGCCAGGTGTTTTGTTTACTTATTTGGGGAAGTGGGGGAGGGAGTGGGAGTTCTCTCCTCCTCTTAGGAAAAAGGTAGGGGTCTCAGACGGACGCATTCACCTGGAAGTTAAGGTGCAGATGTGGGGGGGGATGTGCCCCCCGAGTGCCTGGGCAGACACTGAGCCCCACACAAGCACCTGACTTATGGATCTGACATCCCTTTTCTGTAATTTTGATGGAGTTTGGGCAGGAGTGGAGTTAGGTTTGAGTTTTCAGTCTGCCCTCTCTACTGGGAAGATCCGTCTGACCACTTAGCCCACGCCCGTCACCTGCCTGTGGTGGCTGAATGAGTGGATTGATTCTCACGAGCCCCCTCCCCATCCTTGACATGCAGGCTCCTGGTCCTGACACCCGCGGGGTCCTGCCAGCCATCCCCCAGGAATCAGCATACACGGGTCTCGCCCATGCGGGAGGCCTACAGTGGTCAACACAGGGGCTGGGACCCCCCATCTGGTCCAATGTCCCTCATCCTTCAGCATAACAGCAGTAAAGGAGCCCCTGGATCTCAGGAATGAACCCAGCCCCTGCCCCTCCCCCTCTCCGAGGTGACCCAGCAGGACCAGACCTATCTGAACTTCATGCTGTGAGTGAGGCAGGGCTTGAGGTGATGTCCCTGGGCATAGACTTAAATGCTGCTCTATGAGCAACTCTCTCTTGCCTTTACGTCAAAATGAACTCGGAGTTCATCCATTTATCCATTTTACTCACTTCTTACCATTTTGACCATATCTCCATGGCCCCCGCCGTCCTCTCTTTGGGTTTGAGCAGGGGCCACACACTCTCTTCTTTCTCCTGCCTTTGGCCCCCTCCATGCTGCTCCAAAACAAGCATGCACTGACAAGTTCTTTTCTCCTCACAGGATTCCCATCACCAGCAGCGGACACTCCCTCGCTGCCCGCCCAGCGGACCTCCTGCTGGTGCCCCCTCCCTGGGACCCACCTTGGCCTCCTGGCTGTCCCCCTGACATGGCAGGGCCTGCGCCTCTAGCTGATACCCTGCTGGGACACTCATCCCCGGTCACCACGGGCTCCCCCTCCATCAAGCTTTGTTCAGAGGTGGGCTGGTCAGTGAGGGTGTCTCTGGTTGCCCTCCGAAAGGAGCAGCTCACACCCTGGCCCGGCAGCACCGGCGTCTGATGTAGGTTCTGTATACGGCTTTATCCTGCACCCCTTAAAGCTCAGTCCTAACCCAGCCAGGGTTCTAAGCCAGCTGCAGGGCCTGCGCACCCTCTTGGGGGCCATCTGCAGGGTGATGGCTCCGGCGTGGCTTCTGCTGAGGCCCCTCCAAGTCGGCTTGTGCTCCGGAGTCTGGAGCATCTCGGGGCAGTAAATGTTCTGGCCCCAAAGAGTGATGCTCGTCACCCCCAGCGGCCCCACGTACCGACATGCTCCCGAAGGAGGGAAGGGGCTGGGAGCTGCAGGGGACCCCCAGCACTAGCCCTGCCCTGCCCCCTGGCTAGGGCTCCAACAGGACCCTCTAGCCCCTGAAGACAGTACACGGTCTTGTCCCTGACTGGGGCACCCAGTTGAGCTTCTCAGGTTGAGGTCTGTGGTCAGGCCAGGTGCTCAGGTCTGAGGTGCCTGAGGTCTTCTTTTTTGAAAGAGTTTACCTATTTATTGGAGAGAGACAGAGAGAACATGAGCAGGGGGAGCGGCAGAGGCAGGGGAGAAGCAGGCTCCCCCCTCAGCAGGAAGCCCGATGCAGGACTTGATCCCAGGACCCTGAGATCATGACCTGAGCCCAAGGTAGACACTTGACTGACAGAGCCCCTGGATGCTCTGTACTTTGGGGTTTTGAGTGCAGGTTCGGATCACACAGTCAACAGGCTTAGTCATGTCCTATTCCCTGATCATCCCATCCGTGACTTCCTGGCTTTGTTTCTGTGGTTTTCCGGCTTTCCACATGTGATTGGTGAGTTCTGAGGGTGAGTCCATGCTATATGGTGGGTGTTTGAGCCCTGAGTCCACAGTGATGTCTTGGGAAGACTTGTGCTCAGGGCGTCACCAGCGCAGGACTCTCCAAGCAAAGCCTATAATTAGGGGTTTTCCAGCTTCATGCCCGTGTGAGTATGGGCTTCTACTGAGGAATGGGCTAATTCGCTACACAGATCCAAATGCAAGAGAGGGTGGGCCCCTGAAGGGACAGCCCCACTCTGGGCCGGTGCCCGGGAGGGCCTCAGACACCCCAGGCTGAAGGCACCCAGGCCAGCAGAGCCTCCTGCAAGAGCCCAGCTCCTGCTGGTTCTTGCCGCGGCCCCCAAGGAACTGCCTGCTTCCCGCCTTCAGTCACTCCATGATGCACACATATCACACGTGTCTGGAAGAAGTCTTGGTTGGTCTAGTATTTGCAGGGGCTCAGGATCAGGCCTCTTGGAAGAGAAACAAAGATGACTGAGCTCTCCATTCATTCATTCAGCAGGCGTGCGGCGGCTGTGCCTTATGCCCGGGCTGCGCTGTGCAGACCGTGGCCAAGTGCACGCCCTTCACCCCAGGCTATTTGCCAGGGGCCTACTGTGCCCACTGCTGCCCATGGGCACGCTGTGTGCCTGAGCAGACAGACGGAAACGTCTGCTTACAGCACTCCCAAAGAGTCTATCCAGACAGAGCAGGGCTCCCCTGGAAGGTGGAAAGGCAAGCCTGTGGGAGGCTGAGGCATGGCTGCGAGGGGGCTGGGCCTTCTTGCATTTCCAGGTCCTTCTGGGCTCTCAGTGAGGAGCACAGGTGGGCACCCCAGCTCCGGAAAGCGAGGTGTCATGAGTTATCTCAGCTGTGCCCTGAGGTGATGTGTTTAGAGACCCTCAGGGACCATCTGCTGAGAACATCTTTCAGGTGAGTCTCTCCTCCTAGGCTACAGCTCCCAGTCTGTTGGGCAGGACATACCCAAGGTGCTGGCTGGAAGTCTATCCCTGTTGGGGGATAAAGGTTCACAAGCCGCTCTTTCACTGCTTCAAGGGTCAAGGCGACCACTGGGGACATACATCTCTTCTGGAGAGAGGAATGGGTACAAGGAGGTCAGCAACAATATAGGGCAGAGGGGCCTGAGATCAAGCTCATGGGAAGGGGTGGGGGGGGACGTGGAGGAGAGCTGTGGGGAGGGGTGGAGGGGAGCTGTGGGGAGGGGTGTGGGGTGGTGGTCATGGGGAGGGGTTAGCGGGGTAAAGGAGAGCAGTGGGGAGGAGTGTCAGGGGAGTATAGGATCACAGTGTGAAGGGGTGTCCAGGGTAGAGGAGCTCCATCAGAAGAGATAGGGAAGTAGAACGGCCTATCCAGTGGGGACATGTTGGGAGGGTAGGTGGGTGGGGGAGGGGTTGCTGAGAGGGAGAGGCCAAAGAGCAAGGAGCGTGGACCCTGGGTGCAGTGGACATGGAGCCCCCCATGGCAGCAAAGCAGGGAGTCCCATGTGGAGGGAGACACTGGGAACCAGAAATGGGGAGAGTCCTTCCTAGGCGAGTGAGTGGAAGTGGACACAGGAGCAGGAGGACGTGATGGGGAAAGGGAGGCCAAGAGAAACGACCCCCAAGATAGGAGGGGGAGACACTGGCTGCTGCGAATGACCAAGTAGGGGACAGGAGAGGGATGGCCCTGGATGTGTCTGAGGCTGGGTAGGTGTCCTGCATGAGCTGCTTCTACGGGGTGTGGATGGCTCCTCAGCAGGAGGTCTGAGCATGTGGGGACCCAAGACTGCCCCTCAGGAAAGTGGGTGGGAGAAGTGTCAGAGAAAACAGAGAAGCAGAGGTGAGAGGGGTCTCTGTATGGAAGTAACCAGATATCAGCAGGGACATTGAGGGGGTGGTGGACAAGGGTGGGGGAGGTGGGTGGGAGAGGGCAGTGGACAGAAGGGGGGAGGGGGTAGTTGTTGGATCTGATTCTGCATGTGTCCAAGCAGGTGGAAGAATGTTCTAGGAATAGAGAGGAGGCTTTCCCCATCTCCTGATCTTTCTCTGAGTGGCCAGCCCAGCCCAGGGCTCAGAGACTCCCATGGGATCCATGCTGATGGGTGAGGTGGAGACCCCTGACCTCAGACAAGGGCCCGGGCGGAGGAACAGTGAGCCCTCAGGGAAGCTGTAATGAGGCGGTGGGGCTTGGCGGTCAGTGGCCAGGTACAGGGACCGGCTGGCCTCAGGGAACAGCTGTGGGTGGCTGCACATGGCCTCGCTGTTCCTCTGAAGTCCCCACTGGTCCCACCAGCAGCCCCCGTGTGTGCTGGGTGTGTGTGAACACCTCCTTCGCGCCAGTCAGAGGCTGCCCAGTGTCCTTCCAGGAATCTCAGCATGCCCTCCAGGCAGGGGAGACCCTACTTGGGGTGGGACAGTGGCCCTCCCGGGGCCCTGCCAGGAAATGCAAGACAAGGGCCCCTGATGTCAGGAAACAGTCTTTATTCAAGTGAAAGGAGATGGGTCACGTGACAATGCCAAGGCGAGTTGTCAGAGCCTATTCTCCTTTACCCACTTGACCTACATGACCTGTCCGGGGTAGTCTCGGCCTGTGGGCGCTGGTGCCCCCAGGGACAGCAGGTCCAAGGTATTTCATATCCGCAGTAGCCTGGGGCTCCTGGGGCTGGGTGTGCAGCTCTCCTGTAGGTGGACCCGTGGATGCTGTGGGCCCTGTGGACACGCAGTCCGCATGCAAGACGACCTCCGACCAGCAGGAAGTAGAGCGGAGCGCAATGTAACCTCAGGGCTGGACTCCCCCAGAAGAGTAGGTCCCAGGACTGGGTGCCCGAGGGGAGAGCTCATTGAAAGGAGATGCCTCCCCCGGAGTCCTGCTCCACCCAGCCACTGGAGACCCATCTGTGGGGGGGGGTTGGTCAGCACCGAAGCTCAGAGCCCCACGTGGTCCACTGAACCACCAGGCTCAGCCACCACGAGGGGTGGAGGGCCTGCAGGGCTCTGGTCTCAGACACAGTTGTCGGGGACGCACTCGGCCTCCTCTTCGAGCTCGGGGCAGGGTGCCCCGTGGTTGGCAGGCTGCATGCGGATGTAGCGAGTCCTGCTCTTGGCTCCCAGCTTCCCACATGGACCTGCACACAGCCCCCAGGATGACCACAGGGAGACCTCGCAGTCCAGCGGCGTTTCTGCAACTGGACCGAGCACAAGAGAGGGCTGTGAGCAGGTGTGCGTCTCTTGTACAAGACCAGCCCCATGTGGGCATCACAAGGAGCGGGGATTTATCAGCATGCCTTAGAGCCCACCACAAGACCGCCAATCACACTGCCTGCAACCCCCCACTGAGACACCTCCAGGGACTCCCCCTCATGGGGGACTCTGGGACGCCAGCTCTGGCAGCCAGGACCAGGAGGCCAGGGGAGGGGCCTGCTCTGATGCAGCTGGGCTGGCAGGGGGCTCTGTGTTTCAGACCCCCACACCTGCTCATGGCTGGACCCCCACTATCCCTTCTGCCAGGGGGCAGGGGAGGGGAACAGAGAGGGATCCATTCAGTGGTGTCCTGACCATCAGCTATGATACAGGTCACACGCGGGGACGCCACTGATGAGGGCCTGCTTTACCACTCACTCCTGGGCAAATGTACAAGAGTTCACTGGTCAGCCAAAACCCACATCTCCCCAAACCCCCACTGTGCTGCACTAAGGGCTCCGAACCCCCAGGGCCCCCAGCTTCCTAAGGGGAGGGTTAAATCTCAGAGCCCTTGCCATCCGATGCTGAACCGGGGGAACCCTAGAGCCCACAGCGTCCTATGCCCAACACCTGAGCCCCTGTCTTTCTTCACACAGCCTCTGGCTGGTTTGACTCCGCCCCTTGCACACCCTAACACCACCTGCCCCGCCATCTCTCCCTCCCCCACGGCACCCATTAGCCATGAGGGCACATTACACCCAGGAGCCGGCTTGGGAGGGAGCACCTTTCCCAGCTCTGCCATAGCTGGATGGGGGACTCCCCTGGGGGAATCACTGGAGTGGGTAGACACGGAGGGTCGTGGTCCCTGGACCACTGGCCCCCATGAGGAGCAGGTTACCAGTGTGGTCTTGGGAAGTGGAGTGTGTGGAGGTGTCACTGACTCCTCAAAGAGGTCCCTTTGGGACAGTTTCTGCCCCCGAGTGTCCTTTCCTCTTTCAGTGTGGTGGCCACTCGCCATTAAGGATGATTGTGCAGGTGGGACAGAAGGACCTCACTCACGGGGGTCAGTATTGACAGCTGCCCTGTCACGGGTCCCTGTGTGGCCCGCAAACCCGAGGGGTGCTTCTCCCCACTGCAGCCCGCGGGCCATCAGGGCCTCCCTGGTGCCCAGAATGGCCATGCTGCGGCCGGGAGCTTGCAGGGGTCCTGGCGGCGGGGCGCCAACACGCTCACCTGAGACGCTGTCCACGATCTCATTGCTCCCGCCAACGCCCACGGGGCCTGGGGCGGGCGGGACGAAGGCCCTGGGGTTATGCCGGAGTCGCACCAAGGTCACTCTGGCGATTGGGGGCAGGGACTTCAGCCGGGGGTAGTAGAAGGAGTTTGCAGGGTGGCTGGGAGAGGAGGAGGTTATCTGCGGAGAGAGCAGCCTTATCCGCTGCGGCCCGGCGACACCCGGCGGCCTACGTGAGCACGCCTGGGGCGGGACCGCGGGGCGTGGTCTGCAGGTGGGGCCGCGGGGCGGGGTCTCGGGGCGGGGTCTCCAGGTGGGGCCGCAGGGGCCGCCCCGGCAGTCTGGTGCGCCGCCTAGGCCCTCCGCCCTGAAGAGCTGCCGCGTGCAGACCTGGCGTCTTGCGGTCAGGGACGAGGCGGCGCACTAACCTGAGAGCCACCTGTTGGGGGGGACCTCTGGTCCCTCCCCTCCATCATCCCCTCCCCTCCGTCCCCCCTTACCTCCGTCACCGTGTCCTGCGGGATGGTCGCGAAGTTGGGGGAGGAGAAGGTAAAGCCGCTGTCGGTCCCCGCGTCGTACGGGTAAAGGTCCACAGCAACCTGCTCCCTCCAGCGGTCCCCGTCGCATAGGTCCAGACTGTCCACGCCCACAAACCAGTCCGGGCTGGGAACGATGCGGACCACGAAGGACACCTGGGGGGAGGGCGGGCGCTTAGCCGGGCAGCCGCGGCCCCCCTCCTCCCCCCACCGCCGCCCGGCTCACCAGCGAGTGTCGCGAGTGGGCCTCCAGCTCCGCGGACGTCTGTCCGGTGCCGCTGGGCACGGCGGGCGCCGAGAACACCTCGTGCACGCTCTGCAGCTTCTCTCCCGCCGCCTCCATCTCCCGCATCAGGGCCCAGGCCTCGCCCCGCTCCGCAAAGTCCCTGAGCCCGTCGCTGACGTACTGGTTCTTCCTCCACAAGCTGTAGTCGGAGCTGTGCGCGGCCCCTGCGCGCGAGGGGGCGTGTGAGCCGCCGGCCGAGGGGCGCATGTTCCCCGGTCAGGGCCCAAGCCCGGCAGGACGTGCGCAGCAGAGATTTCTGGCACTGCAGGAAACGGGATGAGCGCGTCCACCCTGCCCACGGGGAAGTGCGGTGCAGCGCTGGGGTGGGGCGAGGGTCACCGCAGGTTGGGCGGGACCGGGCAGCACCGCTGCACTTACCCAGCAGGGAGGACCACTGTGCGGGGGGCCGAAACAGGGGGTACTGCTTGGGGAATGCTGTCTGGCTCCACTTGCCCGTGAAGGTGATGCTGTACTTGGCCAGGGGCCGGGCTGTGCAGACAGACTCTCCCCCCAGCGGCTGGCTGGCCACAGAGCCAAGTGTGGTCAGAAGGACAGCCCAGAGGGCCCTGCCCCAGGTGGTGGCGTGACTTGGGGCTCCCATGACCTAGGAGCAGAGGGAGAGCTCCACCAGCTGGCACCACAGGTCCCTGGAGAGGGGGCAGAGGCAAGGACCTCCTGGAGTGCAGCGTTCCCCACTATGCCTTCTCACCCCCACCCACATCAGGCTCAGGGGGACCCCCGTCCCATCCCTGAAAGCCAAGCCGGGTCAGGTTACACTTGGATCCCAAGCCCAGCAGATTCGGAGTCCTGGCTTGGTCTCAGCCATGCGGGGGAGGGGGGATGGAGGAGGAGGGAGGGGGCTTGGGGGGGGGCAGCATCCCTGAGTCCGGGGAATCTGGAGGGTGCACTTCAGGCACGCAGTGCCCGGGATGACCCCAGCAAATACAGGCTTCCCGGTGCTGCGGGCTGCCGGGCCCAGGAAAGTGCCAGGAGGCCCAGCGCCTCCAGATGGGGACAGGGGCGCATCCCCCTCACACACCTACTCACCCAGCAGGAGTGGCGGGAGGGCTGGCGGCTGGTCTGTGGCAGCGAATGGTCCCTGTGGGAGCCCAGAGCCCAGAGCTCTAATTTACGCCCAGGACAGCCCCCAGCCGGCCACGGCGCTGCAGAGAGCCGAAGCTCAGACGGGGAGAGGGAGAGAAGGGGCTCCTCCAGTGCCGTCCGCCCTCGCTCTGCCGCCGAGCAGATGCTTCTCCGGAGCTGAGGTCACTCTCCTCCCTCGGGCGCCTGCCACTTGCCGCACCCCTTTCTTTGTCTTTCCCTCCCGCCTCCCCGCCCTCCGCTCCTCTCCGGGCCGCTCCCCCTTCCCAACAAACCCGGCTTAGTGTCTCCCGGGAGGTGCTGCCACAGTCGCGGCTGGGAGGCTTGGGAGGCGAGCTGGGCTGGGGAGTGCCAGCATATTACACCCTCCAGGCAGGGTGGGACCGAGGGGCCACATTCCTGGCCTGACGTCAGTCCCTGTGTTGGAGATGAGCTGGAGAAGTGGGGGCTCCCAGTTCAGGCATCCCTTGGCCTGGGGTGCTGGGTTTGGGCACACACAGCTCGTCAGCGTCCACACGGCTGCCGTCCACATGGCTGGCCAGGGCATCCTGAGGCTGTCCCTCCAGAGGGGAGCCAGAACCACATGGGTAGAGTTGTCCCAGCTCCTGAAAGGCTCTCTGGGGCAGGGAGGTGGCTCAGGGTCCCCACCCAGCTTCCCTCGGTGGGGTAGAGCTCCATGGACGCCTGGCAGGGGGACATGACCAAAGCTGGTCACCGCTCACGGTCATTAAAATATTTCTAGAACCCTAATCGTGGGGTCTGGGAACAGAAGGGAAGCTCTTATCAGAACTGCTCAGGGAGCTTTTAAGCTCAAACAGAAAGCATTCTGATTTTTGGAACTGTTAACATTCCAGATGGGGTGGGGGGGGCAGTGGTGACTGAGGGACAGAGGAAAAAAGAATCACCGGGAATAGAACACAAATAAAAATGAATGACCAATGACCTGAGCTGTATTTCAAATACACACACAGCCACAGAGAGCAGCCCAAGTAGCCAGACTGCAGGTCCTTAGGCTGAACTCGGATCCTCACGTGGGGTTTTCAAACTTTTTGGTCTCAGGAACCCCGGCACTCTTAAAAATCACTGAGAACCCCAAAGAGCTTTCATGTGTGTGGTTAGAGCCATCAATACTTCCCATATTTGAAATCGTAACAGAAATGTTCAGAATACATATTTACTCCCTTACCAATGAAAATACATTCACATAAATAGCATAATGTTTCATGAAAAACAACTACGTTTTTCAAAGACTGGCCTGGTTCTATGTTTGCACAGCTCTCTCTCTGCCCGGCTTTGTGGGCAGACAGCTGGGCCTCCACATGTGACCCTCCGGAAGGCTGGAGGTGCGGAGTGGAGCCCAGCCTGGGCAGACAGGCCTTGCAGCCTCTGGAGAAACTCCACACGCCTGGGAGAGAATGTGAGCGAAGGCAAGTGCTGTCCGTGCACCTGTGTCTTGTTCTTGAGAAGCAGGGGCCTTTCTCTGGGAGAGAAAGCAGGAGATGGGCCCAGGGCCATGTTGCAGCTGGCTCTCCTGCCATGGTTTGCTCACGCACTGTCCGGGGTGGCCCTGGCCTCAGGCTTGCCCCATTGTACGGGGGGCTCTGATCCCAGCACCCCCACACCCATGTGGAAAGCCTCTGCAACTCAAGGACCCTGGCATGGGGGGGGGCGGGATGTGCTGCCAGAGGACCCTGGCCTGGAGCCCACAGGCAGGGACCCCCTTCCTTGCGTGGGCTCCCACGGGAGGGGCTCCACTTCCATTGTTGGTGACTGCCCCCCCAAGGACATGCCTGAGGGGATTCTTGGGATACAATGGGACCTGGGAAAGAGAACTAAAGGCCAAGGTAGCTGACCTGTGGCCGCTTGGCCTCCATTGGGCCTCAGGTGGGGACCTGGCCAGCAGGGAGTCGGCTCAGCTGCTGACCTAGCGCTGCCAGGTCCTGCCTCCCTTCGAGAATCACAGAATCCCCTGAGGGGGCTTTGGGATCTCTTGTCCACAGAGACCCCACTACAAAGGTCCCGCCAGACTTAGGCAGAGCCTCCCCCCTGCCCCTGCCAAGGGAAAGCCAGTTAGAAAGTCATTAACCCTGAGGAATACCTCCTGGGTCTCAGTGCTGGGGGCCCAGAAGTGAGCCTGACCACCAAGCCCTACTCTCCTGGGTGTGGGGGAGGGGCTGCAGACCGTGTACGTTCTGTCAGTTGGGTTCGGCGAGTGCTGCTGCATTAATTGCTTGACTCTAATTCTAGGGCCCCTTCCTGGAAGTCACTTCTTGATCAGTCACTCAGCTGGTTTCAGGCAGTGGGACTCAGGACAGTGGCTGCTGTTCAGGCCTCCACACCCCCAACCCTCCCTGTCTGCACCCCCATCCTGTCTGAACCTCACCCTCCCCATCTGCACCCCTACCTCCTTGTCTGCACCCACTGTGCTCTCTGTAGACCCCCCATTGCTCCAGTGGCAGAGCTGTCCTGTCCGACCCTCCATTCCATGTGGCGGCAGCAGGCACCCCTTATCCCTGCCCCCGACTCAGGTGTCTGTTGTAGCTCAAATTAGTCTAGAGTAAGGATGAGCAATTGACGAGCCAGCCTCTTGGCTGAGGTTGGGCAGCTGTGATGTCCTTTCCACCTAGTGTGAGGGGTGGGGTTGGTGGGCTCTCACTGGCCCTTGAGGGCTGTGTGGGATTTCTAGAAGTCTGTGTTTGTGGGCTGATGAGAATAGGCCTGGCAGGCAGGGGAGTGCTGGGTGAGCTCTGTGTCCTCATCCGCACCCCCTGGGCTGTGTCACTGCCCCCGGGTCCCAGAGCCCAGGCTGCCCCCATGGGGTGCGGGGGGCCCTTGAGGTCTGGTATAACAAGGGTCCTTTCAGAGCCCTCTCCAGGCGTGGCACAGGCCTCCCTGGTACCCCACCCGGGGACAGGCTGTCTCAAGCACTGGTGTCTGGCTCCCCAGGGGGATCCCGCCACTTAGACAGGCACACATTTGTCTGCTCATTTGCCCTCTCACCAGACATTTACCAAGGGCCTCGGTCCTGCCAGACACCACAGTCTCTGCATACACAACTTTCCCAATGGCCACCTCGGTTCTGAAGGTCTGAATAGTCCAGCAACAGGTTGGCTTTCCAGGGGGTCTCCCCAGCTTGTTGTCCCAGCACCCCCTCCATGTGCACAGACACACCCCGCTTGTTCCACCCCAGGGCCTTTGCCCTGGCAGCTCCTTGGAGGTCCCCATGTGTATGTCTCAGGGAGTGCCATCTGGCCCTGTCTTGTCATGGCTTTGTTTCCAATCAGGGCTCCCACAGAACGAGTCTGACTAATGTAAGCAAGGGTGTGGCTTCCAGAGCCTTTAAGAAGGCTGAGCTTCCAAGAATGACTTCCAGGACTGCGTGCAGGGTGGCCGCCGGGCCCCACCTGCCCAGTCCCCTGCCTCCCTTGCACCCTTGACCTCTGCTCTGGAGCCAGGTTTCTTGGAGCCCTTCTGGTATGTGAAGCCCAACTGGGTCTGGGAATCCTGGATCCTGGGTTTAGCTTTGCCACCTCTGCAGTCCAGGAAGGCACTAGAAGGGGCGGGTGCTAGCAAGCTGAGCCCCAAACAGCACACGCCTGCCCTCCTCTCTTGCCGAGCTGTGGGCACCTTGCTCAATGGGCTTCCCCTGCAGGCAGATCCCTATGACCGTGCCTGACTTGCAGGGGCCCCGTGAGCCCAGGACTGTCCCAAGCGTCCCTGTCTGCACCTGACAGGCCTTGCAGCCTCTGGATAGCCCCGCATGCCTGGGAGAGACTGGCAACACTGCCAGGCCCACTTCGTTGAGGAGGTGGGGCTGCGGAAGCTGAGCTGCAGGCGTAGGAGGGGACCAGCTTCCGTCTGGCTGTAGATACAGGCAGGGTCTGCCTCCCAAGGACATGGTCCTCTGCTCTCAGCGGTAGCCATGGTACCTTCATCCAAATGAAGGTGGCAGGACCTCAGCAGACACGGCAGAATGAGGACCTCTGGAAATGCTTTCCTTTGTGAGAGCAGTGAGAACACAGGTAAGAGTGGCTGCATGGACCTTTTCAGCACCTGGAGACCAACCCGGCTGCAACAGGCTTTGAAGAGTTCCTTGTTTTGGGTTGTAATCCAGAAAATTGGCTGAATCTTGGTGAGAACAGCAAGCCTTAAGGTGTTTGTTTTGTTTGCTCTCATCCTGACCATTTTTACGTGCACAGCTCAGTGGTATTAAACACGTTCCCACTGCTGAAGGGCCGTCACCACCATCCATCTCAGGACTCGCTCATCTTGTGACTCTGAACCTCAGTGCCCATTCAGTAGTGACTCCCGTTTCTGTTCCTCCCGGCCCCTGGCACCCCGTCAGTCTCTGTGATTTTGGCTCCTCTAAGTACCTCATGCAAGTGGCGTCCTACAGGACTTGTCCTTCTGTGGCTGGCTGCTCTCACTGGGCACAGCGTCCTCAAGGGTCACCAAGTGGCAATAGGCGGCAGATGGTCCTCCTCTCTGAGGCTGAGTGCACGATGTGTACACACGTGTGGGTGCCCATTGATCTGTCAGTGGGCACTCAGGTGCTTCCCTGTCTTAGCCGCTGTGAGTCATGCTACAGTGAACAGGGCTGTGCACTCATCCCTCGGAGACTCTGCTCCCAGTTCCTTTGGATGTAGATACCCGGATGTGGAGTGGCTGGGCTGGATGGTGGTTCCACATCTAAAATCCTGTGGACCCTCCACACTGTTTTCCATGGCAGCTGCACCATTTCTCGTTCCCACCAATGGGGCCCAGCTTTCTACTCTCCCCATGTCTTCACCAAGCTACGAGGTGTTTTCACTTGGTCCGTCCTCCACTCTTCAGCTGTCTAGTTGCCTAAAAATGAGCAGCCTGTCAGCCCCTGGATGGAGCCAAAGCAGCATTCCTAGAAAAGGGTCCCAGTTTCTGTCTCGTGGTTTCCTGGAAGACCCCATTAGCAGAACTGTCTGAATTTGACTTGGTCCAGAGATGACCCCGCAGATAAGACTTTTCCCCAGGGGTGATGGTTGGAAATGGTCACAGACAATTAATGAACTTTGCCGTGGCCTTAGGTGTGGATAACAGTGGGGGCAAACAAGAGACTCACCAGAAAGCTGAGAAGGAAAGTCTGAGAGATGGGACGTCCACAGAGAGCCATGGAAAACACCAGCGTATTCCTCGGGGGTCTAGAAGGCCACACAAATTCCTAGGGCAGCAAGTGTTCAGGTAAGA